TCTACCGAAGATCTCAGTAAGTCTCACTGCTAAAACTGAACCACTATCCTTAAAAATCTCAGCGTTTAACCTATCAGGACCCGCTACTCTCCCTCGCTTCGGATTATTCAAAGCCTTTCCAACTTCATTAGGAGTTATACTACTGACATCAATTCGCCATTTAGGTTGACTGGAGATCGTGGGAAATCGAAGTGTGGCTAAAAGCCATTTAAACTGCCGCATAGTCTTCTACCAACCGATTCAATCAACTGTATTGAGAATGAATAATAAGCACATTCTTTTGCATAATAGCCTCACTAACAGTCAGATTCCTAAGTCCGGTTGACTTGATTAGGTGGAACAGTTGTTTACTGTTACCTATCGCCGCTACCTTTTCAATAGCTATTGTTCTCACTACCCACCACTGTTCTCGATCATTCCGTAGGATTTTTATCAGCATTGAAGTAAACAGCCACTATTATTACATCAGGACACCTAACCTTTTGAAGAGTTCTAGAAGCTTTCTGTAAAACTCTTATTTTACCTCATCTGAGATGCAATCGGAGGGAGCGTAGGCAGAAAAGACGAAAAAGTAACGGCGAGTGTCCCTATCTTTCCGAGTCCTTACTGTTTTGTTTAGTCGAACAGCGCATGAACGATCTACTAGGATCCAGTCTTGGGGAGCTAGTTCTGCCCCAGGACTTAATAATATACCTACACCAGCGAGGCCACGGGAAGCAGCAGAAGCGCATTCAAATAGACGGAGCATGAACCGAGTTGAAATCAAATAATTGATTTTGTTCGCATCCTGCATGCGCGTTTCGGAGACGCATCATATATCGATGGTGCGAAATTCTTAAGTCCTAGCCAAGGAATCCTAATGTCCTATTTGGTATAAGGTTCGAACATTATAAGCTCCAATATGAAATTTAGAATGAGGATTCAGGTGACAATGAATAATGTTTCGTGAACTCGAATCCTTTTCATTAGCGGTGTGGGGTGATAAAGGAATGTGAGACTGTTTGGTCATGGAGGTAAGAGTGTTATTAAAAAGTATAGGGGGATTTGATTCTGACTAGTTTGGTCATGTGTGTTGTAACGAGTATGAAAGCTAATGTCACTTCCCGGTCGCCCACAATGTACAAGGATATTTCTCGAAAAACCTGAAAAAGAATTTGGATTAGAGTTGATCTGAGCGACCTGTGGGTGTGACCGCAGAGCTCAACAAACAACAGACGGAAGCCGGTCTCGTACGGCGTTTCGGTAGTAAGTTGACGTATTAGCTCCGCTCTTCAAATGACCTTACCACTGGAGACGAAAATTCCTGAGGTAAGGTGAGGTGTGAAATTTTTAAGGTCGACCTTTCCTTCCTTCCTTGTGAGAAGGTAGTATCGCTGCAGATGCTGGTTGTCTGAGGGAAACACCTTACTGCTGTCACACCTCTCTACAGTCAGCAGTATGACCTAGCCCTCAAACCTTGAGTAGCTGCTTTTAGTCTCACCGTTCTTCAATCGACCTTCCTGGCATGGCAGAACCTCCAGGAACATACGTCCCGGCCAATGTAGCTCGGTTGGGTCATCATGATAGGCAAGCCCGACCACCACGTTAAGGTAGCAGCTACAGACTGGGTTTTGATCAATAGAGGACTTTAAGCACTTTCTAGTTTCACTGTCTGAACGCGATCATGGAAAAACCACACTGTTCTTATGGTAAAATAAAAATTTTAGTTTTAAATAGTAAGCGATAAATGTATCGTAGCATAATAATACTAACACTCTGAATTCAAAAACTGGTTGCATTATCACTCAATTATCTTGCACACTACTAAAACTAATATTGTAATACACCAATTCATCATACTAATTAACTATGTTAAAGGACAATTGAAAGAGTTTTTAGGAGTGTAAAAAACAAAATCCGAGGCATCAATAACAATTTCATGAACTTGACGTATAAGCTACGCTTTTAATATTACTCAAATCTTCCAGAACAATGAATACAAACTGAAATAGGTCAAAATGAAATTTACTGAGAATTGAACAGTTACATCAGTGTATCATTTTAAACTTCATTTCTTGAAAAAATGAAGATTTATATAGTTATAATCGTTAATCTAATATGAGTGATAGAGTAACTCTGATTTAACTTTAAAAATCGAACTGTGACTACATCTGGCAATGGATAAACAAACTGGAACCTTTCACAAACAACATATGCGTACTGATTTGATTAAAATACCCAACAACCAATTGATATTTATAATTATTTCCGTTTTAAGGTTGGCAGGGAATGAAGACAAGAACAAATAACTTCCATTACGATCATATATTATAATACACAGATTAGTTATGGATATGACTACGGTCTGAACTCATTCATATTGAAAGGTATGTATCGTACATTGTGTTAACTGGAAACGAATATACACATGGAAGAAGAATGTATTTGACAATGTTATCAATCAATCAATCAACAGCAACGTAGAAATTCGTACGTACGTACATCAGTTCAAGTTGTCATACCACATTTGCACAGAGACGCAACTGTCAGCTCAAACCCCATAGTGGTAGAGATAGCAGAAGTAATGAGCGGTTATGGGGAAGATTAGGATTAGAAGATATTATTCAAGAAGTAGAATCTAGTGAAATAAACTTAAAGAGACAAAGATAAAGTGACGAAGAATTAAAAAGTATAGGATTTGAGAGAACACAAAGAATGAAGGCACCTGAGCCATTGAAAACGATTTTGAGCCATGTCATTGTGGGTCTCTAACCATCGATTACTAACATCTCGCAGACCGCAACCAGTTAGTCGAAACCTAACCAACACAGCCCAGTCCAGTTGTCAGTGACTTCATGGATTTATGCCATGTTTTGGTCTAGCCGCCCCTAGCTTCCTCCCAACCTACTTCTGATCAGACTACTGATCAGATAGACAGACAGATACAACACAGAACTTCGTACATGAGTACATCAGTTCAGGTTGCCATGCCCAATCAGCACAGAGATGCAACTGTCAGTTCAAATACAAGAGTGATAGCGATAGTAGAATTATTAGCAGCAATGGAGAAGATTAGGGAGCAAAGATGTGATTCGAAAAGTATAATTCAGTGAGATAAATTTAGAAGGAGAAAGATAGAGATTATGAGGAATTCAGAAGGCTAGATCTAGGGAGAACACAAAATGTGGATTCACCTACACCATTGCAAACGATTTTGAGCCATGTCGTTCAACGTCTCTAACCATTGGTAACTTTCGTCTCGCAGACCCCAACCAGGTAGTCTACATCTACCAACATGACTAAGTTCACTTGTTAGTGACATCATGCATTTCTGCTATGTTTTCGTCTGGCCGCCCCTAACTTTCTTCCAACCTACTCCTACATCACAAAACATAGCTCGTCGCGGCCGTCGGTGGTTAGGCATACGTAACACATGTCCCAGCGATCTCAACTGATGAAGTTTCACTACTTTATCTATTGATTTGCCATCCTCACCTAGCACCCGTTTCCTAACGACAGCATTGCTTACTCGGTCGTCCCAGGATATACGAGCAATGCTTCGGATACACCTATGATCGAAGACTAGTAACCTACGAATGTCCTCTACTCTTAAAGGCCATGTTTCGCATCTGTAGAGTAGGACAGAGCGAACTGCTGCGCAGTACACTCGTCGATTGGACAACGATGAGACAACTAGCATCTGCAGCGATGCTGCCTTCTCACAAGGAAGGAAGGGTTAGAAAAGGTCGGCCCTAAAAATGTCACACCTCACCCGACCTCACGGATTTCCGTCTACGGCGGTAAGGGTGCCCACTAAGGGGCTTTTAAGAGCGGAGCTACAACTCAAATAACCTTTCATCAAAAGGCCGTGCGTGACCGGCCTCAAGCAGTTGTCCCCTGGGCTCTGCAGTCACGCACCTAGGTCTCTAATACCAACACTAATCTACCTTCCTTTTTAGATCCCTCAAGAAACAACCTTCCACAGTGTGAGCAGTCGGGAATTGACAACTACCCTCATACCCATAACAGCACACAAGACCAAATTGGTCAAAATCAATTGTACTGATCACAAAAACAAAAAAACCAAAAAACAAACAAACAAGAAAATGAACACAGTAAAATGATTAATTATTTATATATAAAAACTCATAAAAATAACATTTACGATAGGATTCCATGTAAAATATTTCCCAATCCAGTAAGCAATGGTAATACTGCAAGACTGTATTGCGATTTCACAAAAAAAAACAAACAAACGACACACACAAGCACACACAACTCACACCAAAGTTGCAAAAACGAAAACAGAACACAAACAAACTTTTATTGATTTTTTTTATTGACACACACATTATCAATAGGATATACAAAAGTAAACATGGACGACGACAGTAGAAACAGAACAAACAAACAAACAAACAACAGTAAAGACAGTTGTAATAACAATATCGAAAAATAAATGAAAAAAAACAAATGATACATGTTACAAAATTAACGATATTATACTAGAAGATGTATGTAATAAAATAAAAGTTTAGCATGTAAATCACAATTGAGATTTCTCATATATATACATATATATATATATGTAGTTTTAGTGAAAATTAGTTAAAACAAAAAAATTAACTTTTGATCATATAGAAAAAAATAAAATAAAAAAAACAGCACATTTTATGTGTTGCATAAAGCAGGTCGATTTCAAAAAGAAAGGATACAGGAAAAAAAAACAAACTTTCGATAGATTCATCTACTAGTTATTGAACAGTGAATATAGGAATTGTACATATATATATATATATACGTAGGGAGAACTGTAAAACTAAGTATATATAAAATCATAGAAATTCGGTAAATTATTGTAAACACTTGTCTTTTTTAAATTATCATTGAAATTTTTCTTAGTCAAAATGTGTTTCAATTCAACTAATTCCGTTAGTTGATTGTAATGAATTACAAGTTGAATTGAACATATAAATATATATATATATATATATATATATATATATATATATATATATATATGTACTGTTATTCAGTGAAAATGAATTATTGTCAATGAGATGGTGTGTGAATAGTTTAATTTTATGCATTGATTTGTCTAATTAATTGTAGGTATTTCTTTGTAAACAAAAAAAAAGAAAGAAAAAGAAATTACTATAAGTTAATGTAATTAAATTTAATTTAATTTAATTAATTAATTGATAAGTTTATAGTTTACAGCAAGGTTTTTAGGAGACCAGGAATAATGTGTATCGTGAGCTCAAACCATTTACTTCAGCGGTGCGAGATGACAAACAATCGAAAGAAGAGTTGGTTGTGGAGATAACAGAGTTATTAGGATGTATTAGTAAGGAATTGATTCTAATAACCACTTTTGGTCTTATATGATTTTATAGGTATGAGGGTGGATGTTACTTCACGGTTAAGGTAGTCAGAAGAGGCGGCCAAGCTAAAACATGGCATAAATCCATGAAGTCACTGACAACTGGACTGAGTTGTGTTGGTTAGGTTTCGACTAACTGGTTGCGGTCTGCGAGATGTTAGTAATCGATGGTTAGAGACACTGAATGACATGGCTTAAAACCGTTTGCAATGGCGCAGGTGCATTCATTCTTTGTGTTCTTCCAAGTCCTAACCTTCTGAATTCCTCATCACCTTTATCTTTTTCTTTCTAAGTTTATTTCACCAGATTCTACTTCTTGAATAATATCTTCTAATCCTAATCTCTCCGATTACTGCTTATACTGACCATTAATATTGACCAGCTGAATAGAATGGGAAAAAAGTGGAACTGGAAAAGAAAAAGGGAATCGTTGTGAAATTAATGAAATTTGATCATTTGAACCAATAAATTTACTCTTTATTATAATATTTTTTTAAATTATTACCAATCAGTTAATATTTAGGCTAATATATATATATCCTATCAACTAGGAGAACTGTTACAAGATATAAGAAGATCCTTTGAATTCAATAAATAAACGCTTGACCTAATTAGTGTATGGGCGTAAAGTGTATTCCTGGTATAGATTTACATCATAAATCCTAGTGGTCAATTTTCAGAAAATGACTATAAAAACATGAAGAGTAAATCGAGCTGCTTCTTTATTTTGACAAGGTGAAATCAAATTAATGACTTTACCAGGATCTTGCATGCGTGTTTCCGAGACGCAGCATACATCGATGGCACAAGATTCTAATGACCAAGGTAAGGAAACCTGTTGTCCTATTTGACACAATGTCCGTACATTATAAGCTCCAACATGTAGTTTAGAACGGCGTTTCAGATGACCAGGAATAACGATTCGTGAACTCGCATCATTTGCATTAGCGATGCTGGGTGATAAAGGAATGTGAGAAGCGTTAGTCGTGAGGATAAGAGAAATGTTAGGAAGTGAAGAAGGATTTGATTTTGACCTATTTGGTATCGCGTGCTGTTGCGGGCATGAGAGCGGATATCACTTCCCGGTCGCCCACAATGTACAAGGATATTTTTCGAAAAACCTGAAAAAGAATTTGGATTAGAGTTGATCTGAGCGACCTGTGAGTGTGACCGCAGAGCTCAACAAACAACAGCCGGAAGCCGGTCTCGTATGGCGTTTCGGTAGTAAGTTGACGTATTAGCTCCGCTCTTCAAATGACCTTACCACTGGAGACGAAAATTCCTGAGGTAAGGTGAGGTGTGAAATTTTTAAGGTCGACCTTTCCTTCCTTCCTTGTGAGAAGGTAGTGTGGTGCTGTGGTGCGAACTACTTATAAGTAGTATATAACGTGAGTGTCAACGTAAAGTCTGGTAGCATAATATGGCGGGAAGATCAAGAAAGGAAGAGTTAGAAAACAATGGAATTTGTATGAAACGCATGAATAGTGACAATGGATTGATGTTTGGCAACAGGAACAGTCCAGTTCCATAGGATGAACTGATCTTTTGCAAATGAACGATTTACGATATGGTTTTCAGATTTTACTGAGTAACTCTGTAATTTTCGTTAAATACAATTCGGTTGCCCCACCTGTGTTCTCATTCAATACAGTAGTATCACTGCAGATGCTGGTTGTCTGAAGGAAACACCTTACTGCTGTCACACCTCTCCACAGTCAGCAGTACGACGTCGCCCTCAAACCTTGAGTAGCTGCTTTTAGTCTCACCGTTCTTCAATCGACCTTCCTGGCATGGCAGAACCTCCAGAAATATATGTTCCAGCCAATGTAGCTCGGTTGGGTCATCATGATAGGCAATCCCGACAACTACGTTAAGGTAGCAGCTACTGTCGGGAGGAAAGATATATATATATATATATATATATATATATATAAAGTAAACTTACATAGAGAGAATACATTCCGACTTCCTGAGTTTACTCGTGAATGAGACATATTTCGTGCACCGAAAAACAAAATAAGCAATACCGACACCAATAATACAACTACTAGAAACTGTAATCGAGATGAAATGAGGAGAATATCTGCCTAAAATTATAAATTTAAATAAATGATTAAAAATATGAATTTCAACATTTTTCAATAAATATGAATAATTAAAATCTGAATATTTTGAAAATATGAGTTCATATAGAAGATGAGCTATACTAAGAATATATAGTTCATTCTAAAATCTGTTAAGGATACTACTACTCGATTGTTTATATATGGAATTATTTATTTCCTGAGAAACTGTGTGAAAATCAGTCGTTTTTATTATCCTGAACTCAACTGGTTATACACTTTTATTAGAATACCAGGAGTTGCATCTTAAAGCTAGTCATCAGTGAACAAGAGTTGATTGAAGTTAGGCATACACATTATTAGACAATGGTTCAGTAATCTAAAGATTAGGTGTTTGCCCGCAAGACTAAAGGTCGTGAGTTCAAACCCCGGATGCAGGGTTAAGGATGCGCACTACTGTGGAGTCTCATACAGTCGTCCAGTCCTCCCAGGTATTCAGTGGTGGTCTAGACAAAATCGGTTCTTGATCTAAGCTTTGAAAACTCTACAATTTTCAGAAGTCCACCAATATTAAAAATCATTTATTGAATCGTTATTAGGATTAACATTTTATACACCTCTATTTTTTTTTTACTTTTATTCTTAATAAGAAATAATATATTATCAGTACTACTGCTACCACTCGTATTTCCCAACTACGGTCGAGGAAGTCTTGATATTGAAAAGTAACGATATTCCGTAGTAATTGCTCAAGTCCCACCTTGAGTGCACCTTTGAAATTGAAGCGTGAACTTAAATAAATCGTATTCCGACCAACTACAGATTTCGCATACGTATAGATAACTATCCTTCATTGAACTACCTGCCTGAATCTTGATCTATTTCATGTACGAAAAACATTTCGCATGTGGTCAACATGTAAGTGATCCTAAATAGAATGACTGCATTCATGGTTTCTAGATCAAGATCAGCAATCAAACCATAGAAAAGCATGCATTAAAACTAGTTGCGATTAAAAGAAAAAAGGATAAAGTAATTAGTAACTTTGTGAAGCATCCAGCTTATAATTAACCAGTTTCTATGAACTCCTGAAAGTTTTATGAAGCTCAAAAGTTAACTTGAAAGAAGTACGAGCACAATAGTGAAAACTAAGCCCCAATGTGAAAAATATCAAAGGCCATGTAACCTATTAGTCAGGACGTGTTACTCAGTTAAAAACAACAGCTACATTTGATAAATATTAGACATTGTCCCAAATCATCCAAGGCCATGATAGCCGTCATGTCAGTGAAACAATCCATTAAGTTAATGCAAACCTAAATAGAAATTCTGAAAGCATGTTTCGTACGGCGGAGATTGACAGAAAAACGTAAAGACAAATTTGTGAAAAGTAAGGCACATGTTCCCAATATAACGAATGTGTTGATCACATCTTTACCTTTCACTAAATGTTTCAGCACTGAAACGATTATCTCGGATTAGCCACCATCATTCTAATAAATCAGAAAGATATAAACCAATGAAGGCCGATAACCTGTTAAAAGTCATGAGCGAAAGCACTTCACGAAGAGTGAAGTTATTCACACACTAACTCTCACTTTATCTTTCCAAACCAAATGAAAATAAAACGCTGTTGCCCGACGGAGCTGCTAACTCGACGTGGTGATCGGGCTTGCCTATCATGATGACCCAACCGAGCTACATTGGCTGGAACATATATTACTGGAGGTTCTGCCATGCCAGGAAGGTCGATTGAAGAACGGTGAGACTAAAAGCAGCTACTCAAGGTTTGAGGGCGAAGTCGTACTGCTGACTGTGGAGAGGTGTGACAGCAGTAAGGTGTTTTCTTCAGACAACCAGCATCTGCAGCGATACTACCTTCTCACAAGGAAGGATGGAAAGGTCGACCTTAAAAATTTCACACCTCACCTTACCTCAGGAATTTTCGTCTCCAGTGGTAAGGTCATTTGAAGAGCGGAGCTAATACATCAACTTACTACCGAAACGCCGTACGAGACCGGCTTCCGGCTGTTGTTTGTTGAGCTCTGCGGTCACACTCACAGGTCGCTCAGATCAACTCTAATCCAAATTCTTTTTCAGGTTTTTCGAAAAATATCCTTGTACATTGTGGGCGACCGGGAAGTGACATCCGCTCTCATCCCCGCAACAGCACGCGATACCAAATAGGTCAAAATCAAATCCTTCTTCACTTCCTAACATCTCTCTTACCCTCACGACTAACGCTTCTCACATTCCTTTATCACCCAGCATCGCTAATGCAAATGATGCGAGTTCACGAATCGTTATTCCTGGTGATCTGAAACGCCGTTCTAAACTACATGTTGGAGCTTTAATGTACGGACATTGTGTCAAATAGGACAACAGGTTTCCTTACCTTGGTCATTAGAATCTTGTGCCATCGATGTATGCTGCGTCTCGGAAACACGCATGCAAGATCCTAGTAAAGTCATTAATTTGATTTCACCTTGTCAAAATAAAGAAGCAGCTCGATTTACTCTTCGTGTTTTTATAGTCATTTTCTGAAAATTGACCATTAAATTTTATTATGTGAATCTATACCAGGAATACACTTTACGCCCATACACTAATTTGGTCAAGCGTTTATTTATTGAATTCAAAGGATCTTCTTCGGTTAGCCACGATCTCCAGTTAGCCTGAATGGCAAGTTGATGTAAGACCTCCGAATCCTAATTAAGTTGAAAAAGCGAGGGAGAAAAGCAGGTCTTGACACGCTTTTCCCTGAGATTTTTAAGGATAGTGGTTCAGTTTTAGCAGTAAGACTGACTGATATCTTAGGTAGAATTCGGGAACTGGACGTAGTCTCATCTGACTGGTCTCGATCGCTGATTGCCCCAGTCTACATAAAAAGGGCAAACGTTCTGTTGTGGAAATCACAAAGGAATCAGTTTAAAAAACATAGCATCTAAGATATCAGATTCAATAATATTTCGATGCCTGACTAGAGCTCAGGAGCTCATGAAGAGCAGATTCGAGAAAACCAGACTGATTCCAGACCTGGACGTGGAGGTATAGACCAGATATTCACTCTCCCTCAGGTTCTGGAACATGGACACACACGTAGGTGACCAATAGCAGTTGTATTTCTCAACCTAAATGCGGCATTCGAATCTCATGACCGTTTGGTTTTGTGACAGTGTCTGTCAGTAAAAGGTGTACCAAATAAGTACACTAACCAAGTACAGGCTCTCCAATGGAAAACCACTGACAGAGTGATTGATTACTTAAAGTAGTGTCCTTCAAGGTTGTCCAATCTCTCCATTCTCGTTTACGTTCGTCAATGAGGTGCTTTTAGAGACGACACTTTCATCGTGTGACTTTTCAAGAGTTGAACTTTTACCGAGAGATTCACTTATTGACTTAGAATACGTCGATAAAATAGTTCTACTTAGCATTGGCAAACGCAAAGCAATAAATAAATCAAACCACTAGTTCAGTTTACCTTAATTGCTGATAACGCTGTAGTAAATGTGTAGAAAGGTTTTTATAACATAACTTTGTAGAAAATACAAATTTTTTCTTTTGGATTTACATATACGAAATCATTATGTGATTATAAGTAGTAGTAAGTAATTAGACCATAACAGCTAGCCCGACCTTAGATGCTACCTTGACGTGGTGATTGAGCTCGCCTATCGTGATGACCTAAGCGAGCTATATTGGCTACAGCATACGATCGTTCAGGTCCCACTATACCAAATGCTAGCAAAATGCAGAGTCTTCTGACCACCTTAAGCAACAATGTAAGCATGTTCGGGATGTGATTCTCTTCATCGAAATGTAAAATGTTGCTTCAGGATTAGTGTGCATCGGAACCTGAACTACCGAAAGCGAGTGAATTAGTTCAGCATGTTGACCGCTTCGCGTATATTGGGAGTCTCATTAGTCCTGACGGCCTGGTGTCCGAAGAAATCTCTGCACGGATACAGAAGGCTCGATTGGCTTTTGCCAGCTTGCTTCACTTATGGCTTAAGCGAGATATCTGTCTGTTAATCAAAGGTCGAGTCTACGCAGCCATTCGCTCCGTCCTACTTTATGTCTGCAAAACATGGCCAGTAAGAGCAGAGGACACTCGTAGGTTACTGGTTTTCGACCATAGGGGTCTTCGAAACATTGTTCGTATAGCCTGGGACAATCGAATAAGCAATGCTGTCGTTAGGAAACGAGTACTAGATAAGGATGGAAGATCGATAGACGAAGTATTGAAACTTCATCAGTTGAAGTGGTTGAGACATGAGCTACGAATGCCCAACCACCGACTGCCTCGACGAGCCGTTTTGTGGTGTAGGAGTAGGTTAGAAGAAAGATAAGGGTGACCAAACCAAAACATGCCACAAATCCATGAAGTCACTGACAAGTGAACAAAGCCGTGTTGGTAGGTGTAGACTACCTGGTTGGGGTCCGCAAGACAATAGTAACCGATGGTTAGAGACCTTTAATGACTAGGCTCAAAATTGTTTGCAATGGCGCTGGTGCATCCATTCTTTGTGTCCACCCAAGATCTCAAATAAACTCCTCAAGACCTACATCTTTCTTTTCTTACATCTATTTTACTGGACTATACATTTTGAATAATACCTTCGGACCATGATCTTTCTAAATACTGCCCATACTTGCGCTACTTCTACTACTATGGGATTTGAATCGACAGTTGCATCTATCTCTGTGCTACAGTGGTATGGCAACTTGAACTGATGTACGTACGTACTAAGTTATACGTTGTAGTTGAATGAATAAGTTGTTAGATTCCTTTAATGATTTTTTAATTTTTATATTGATATTGTGAAAATAGCACTGTATGAAGCGGTAGGAATGCACAGACTCTATCAGGAGAACAAGTGGTTATTCTCATGGATGGGGCTAATATGGTCTAAATCATAGACCTATCTAACATAATGGTGTTTAGTCACATAACATCGATTTTTCGGTTTTTTCTTTTCCTAAATTTGAAATAGTTTCCCATTTACAATTGTCAAAAAGAATAAAACATATAAATATTAAACTAACAAACCTTTCCCAAACGTGGTAAAAGATGAGGAGACACATGGAATTCAGTCTGTATCCGGGTTCGACCATAGCAACGGTTTGAATCAAAGACATCAGTCCGTTTGGACCATTCAAGAGGACTAATGCGTGAGGAAATACCACCCATTAAGCTTGGTTCACAAGTCGGAGGTAACCTACATTTTTTTCAAATAAATATAAAGATATCACAAAATTGTAAAATACTGGTAAATCTAAACTCAGTTGTCACCACAGACTATTATTAGAATACAGAAAGTACTACATAGTTAAAGTAGTAGATTGAAAACTTTAAACCACATTTATTTAGTTCAGTTTATATAAGTAGTATCATTAGTTTTTCCGTGAATGTATCTTAAAGCTACATAAATCAACATGAAATCGGTAAATTAATTACACTTTTTGTTTACACTTGCATGAAGTGGGAGAGTATTACAGACTTACAAGCTATGAACAAAACATATCGGAAAACTGAATCTATAAAAATAGCGATTACGGGTGTTTGAAGCAACTAGTAGAACTTGGAATCTGAAACTAATAAGTATACACTATTAGAACTACATCTCCAAGACAAAAAGGTAAACAGCTTACTGGCTATTGAATATGAGATTTTCTTTTCTGTTATTGACTTCTACATCAGACTCACTGAAAGTGACTGCTTGTATTTGTGTTATATAAAGTAATGTCTAGCGTTACAGTGGCTATCCATTTTTGGTTATGAATCAGCTATTTAATGTAACGATTTGGTGTCTATGCAATGTACCATACAAGTATCCAATCCAGGGGGAAGTATAACCTTAGTTACCCTTACGACTCATTATAGTGTTATTGTAGTATACCGTGGGAGAAAAATTTTCCCAATACCGTTGTTATAACAAATACAATACAATCACAAGAGCCATAAAAACTTGTTTATAAAATATCAATATGTAAAAAATATCATGTTGTATAGAAAATATATCTCATCTATCCAAAAAGACAGTTACATTACGCTTGAAACTTACAGTATTGGCGGAAAAATAGCTGGTGTAGCAGTGAAAGTCACACATGCTTTTAAACGTACAGGTGGAAAGCTCATTTCCTTCTCTTTATGACTGGCATGTTGAACTGATGGTACCAGAAAAGATATATTCAATTTTTGGAGTGCTAATGGACCTGTAAAAATTAAAAATCCTCATTTATTACTTACTGTTAAAGCGAAATCATCAGAATATAGGACAAACAATCATGATAAAAATAGAGCTTAATACAAATATAAATTACCCTGAGTCGTCAGAGCAAATCAGCATGATTAAATGAAACCTGACAGTGGTTATTATATAGACATTGACCAGCTACTTTGAACTTCCGATAAGGCTTGGTAAAACAGATATTGATGCCACGGACAGGAGACACGTCCAGATTTAGCCCCACAGCTTTCTTACAACTTCGACTCCATAGAAAACTGGATGTCCATGTAGGTGGTAGTTGTGGATGCCGATTTTGGGGAAATTAAGCATCATCGATCAACTAGAAGGATTTTCACAGTCAAACTAACAAGCTGTCTAAATCTTTATACGTAACGTAGGCTTTGGCTAAATTTATTTCATAACTTTAGAGAAGTATTCCAACCAATAAGGAACAAAACCACGTATTCTATCCAAAGAATTGACATAAGTACGACTTTATTATGCTTCAATGAAAACTATACACAACTGTACAGTTTTGTGTTGCGGACACTGATTTTTTAGAACCGTTAACTTGACTTCTACAACTGTTATTTTCAGTTTAATTTTACTTACGATAGAGTATGCTTTAATGTCAAATCTAGTAATTTGACACTGTTCTGGAATAAACACTCGGTTATCACAGTCTTGGACAACCTAAAATAATTAATAAAATTATCAAGCGATGCTGAGCTAAAAGTCAGTGAGTCAGTCAGTTACAACGTAGAACTTCGTACGTACGCACATCAGTTCAAGTAGCCATAACACATTAGCACAGAGATGCAATTGTCAAATCAAACCCTATAGTAGTAGAGGAAGTAGAAGTATCAGCAGTAATCGCAGAGATTAGGGTTCGAGGACATTATTTAAGAAGAAGAATCTAGTGAAATAAACTTAGAAAGAAAAAGATAAAGGTGATGAGGAATTCAGAAGGTTAGGATTTAGGAAAACACAAAGAATGAATGTACCTGTGCCACTGCAAACGGTTTTCGGTCATGTCAATCAAGATCTCTAACCACTAATTACTATCATCTCGCGGGCCCCAAGCAGGTAGTCAATATTAATTAACGACGATAACATGTGTACCAAAAGTAGATTAATACTGAGAATGTAACTGATTCGCAACAAATGTGGTAATTTGGTTATTTCTGACAACTTGAAAATGGTTTTCATGAACGTACTTGAATTATACTGTTGTACACATAAAAAATGTCTGATATCTTGTGATTCTTCACGGCCGCTTAAATGATATTTACCTTGAGTTACGAAAATGGCTTTTAGGTACATGGGTTATCATTTTCGTAAGACAACGTGAACGGAAAGCCAGTACACTGCTGACCAACTGTTCTGTTGGTTATAACTCCATTACCAAGCAAAGATCCATACTCTGTGATTTAAGCCACATCTTTTGTTTAGGAATCGATCATACCACAGAGTTATCAAATGTGCAGGGTTCGAAATCACAACCCAATCATAAAAGATTGCGTTCTGTAGGCATTTATTGATTATTGTAGTGATTGAATAAATCTAAGAGCTACTGCTCTGAATACTGTTACGACTAATGTTTTCACCTAATTTTAATTATCATCTATTTATAAAATTCAAATCTCTAAAGTTTGCAATCGAAAACCCGTATATAGCATAAGCAAACATGAGACAGAAACTCTAATAGGTAAATTGATAAAATAATTCATTAGTTGCATGTTCGCAACCGAGAAATTATTATCTGTACACAAATCAAGAAGTACATTAACCTTATACAAGCTCTCTACTCGAACACCACTGGTCGAGTGAGAGCTTATGGCGAACTGTCATCTGAATTCTCTACATCAAGTGGTGTCCGTCAGGGATGTCCACTCTCTCCATTCTTGTTTAACTTTGTTGTAGAGATGCTCCTAGAAATAACCTTATCCTCGTCTGAATTTTCTGGAGTAGACCTTCTACCAGGTGGCTCGCTTATTGACTTAGAATATGCCGATGACATTGTCCTACTTGGTGAAGATGCTGACAAAATGCAGAGTCTTCTGACTACCCTAAGCAACAATGCAAGCATGTTCGGGATGCGGTTATCCCCCTCGAAATGCAAAATGTTGCTTCAAGACTGGGTTGCATCGGCACCTGAACTAATGATAGGGAGTGAAGTAGTCGAGCGTGTAGACCGCTTCACTTATCTTGGGAGTCTCATCAGTGCCGATGGCCTGGTGACTGACGAAATCTCAGCTCGGATACAGAAGGCTCGATTGGCTTTTGCCAACCTGCGTCACTTATGGCGAAGGTGAGATATCCGTTTGCTGACTAAAGGACGAGTGTACTGTGCAGCGGTTCGCTTCGTCCTACCTGATGGCTGTGAAACATGGCCAGTGAGAGTAGAAGATATTCGTAGGTTACTGGTTTTCGATCATAGATGTCTTCGAAGCATTGCTCGTATATCGTGGGACACCCGAGTGAGCAACGCTGTTATTAGGAATCGGGTGCTAGGTAAGAATGGCAGATCAATAGATGAAGTAATGAAACTTCATCAGTTGAGGTGGTTGAGACATGTGTTGCGTATGCCCAACCACCGACTGCCTCTTCGAGCTGTTTTGTAGTGTAGGAATAGGTTGGAAGAAAGTTAGGGGCGGAAAAATCAAAACATGGCAGAAATCCATGAAGTCATTGACGAGTGGACTTAGCCATGTCGGTAATTGTCGAATACCTGGTTGGGGTCCGCGAGATGATAATAATCGATGGTTAGAGACCTTGAATGACATGGCTCAAAATCGTTCGCAATGGCGCCGGTGCATTTATTCTTTGTGTTCTCTCAAATCCTAACCTTATGGGTTCTTCAACAACTCTAGTTTTGACTTTCTAAACTTTTCTCATTAAATCATACTTCTTGAATAATATCTTCTAATCCTAACCTCTCCGATTACTCCTAATACCTTTACTACCTCTTCTACTATTGGATTTGAATTGACAATTACATCTCTGTGCTGATGTGGTATGGCGACATGAACTGATGTACTTAGTACGAAGTTCTACGTTGCATCTGACTGACTGTACAGAAATCAATTACAACCGAAACTACGTACTAAATATAACCATGAAATACTGAACACCCATAAGTTATTTGATGTCAATCTATTTTATAATATAAATCAGAGTGAAATTACATTTTGTTACTTCGTAATATTTGATATACAATATGATGTTAACAGTTATATTATAATAACTACTTCGCTCTTAAATTAAGTTTCAACACCCCACGATAAGACATATTCAATCAAAAGCCTGCATTGAAGTTGATAGGAAAATTTAACATACCTTTAATACCGATATGACGTCCATGCATTTTAGCAATTAGTAAATATGACATATTATAAACAAACTCTTGATTAGGATACATTAATAAGGGTAGATCAATTGCATGTGATATAACTACATTGTCAGATTCAGTATCATCTAATCCATGTAGGACATGTGCACCTGCATACGAGTCAGCCAATAATCTTGCATTAGATGAATTAGAAAAACAAAATTCCAATCCTGACAACTCCAATAATAGTTTATTCCAGTGTTTTTCAACGTCAGGATCATTAGGAGGGGATTTATTCACTTGTATGTCTAATACAATCAATCCAATTGCGCATAATAGAAGAAATAATGAAAATAAAGCCAGAGGTGGTCGACCAACCAAAAATGCCTTGACATAATACAACTACAAAAATGAAATCATACATTACATACTTCAATGTAAAAGAACAATCAAAAACAAGACAATATGTTTATATGGATCATTTTTATTGAGTTAAATACAATACAAAATTATATCATTATAATATTGCAAATCCTCACAAGTTAACGTGATTTCTCCAGCACCGTAAACTAATCTTGTAACTATTTTTTGATTGTTTTATATCAAGAACTCGTACTCTTTTACCGACAGGTACTTCTGTATCATCAATTACTATATCAAGTTTATCACCTATATAAACTGTAGTACCCATCTTAAGCAACTTTCCTCCATTTAACCTACATCGGTTAGAAAAAAAAGCACTGTCAACAGCACTTCTAGTGATGTCTAGACCCACACGAATAATTTTATCGAAACGCAAAGATTTGACAGATGATGATATTTGTCGAAAATTTGGATTGAACGCTACATCTTCTGAATAATATGGATCTTCTGATTCATCAACATCATTATTATTATCACCATCATCATCATCATCAAACGAGTCATCATCTGAAGAATAAGAATCTTGCCCAGCATGACGACGTCCAGTATGTTTCTGCAAATTTATTAAACATACTGGAAAAACTTTCCGAGTTGGTTTTCTGTTAAAATATGAAAAACTTTTCAACAATCCATTAGGTCTGTTATATAATGATATTCGTAATGCCAAGCCAAATAAACCCCAATGAGAGTTCATAATCCATCAAAATGATAAATAAATCTGCAAAACAAACGAAGCAAGACCAATTATTGGTGCTCATTAATTCCGGAAATGAACAACCTCGAATGTCTAATCGAAAGTAAGCCTTACGTCCAAATTTATGTTAAAGTTTACCTATTCACCGTTTCAGCTAAACTGTTCAGTTTTTTTGTCTCGACTCGCTGATAGTCAGCCAGTCAGTTACAATGTGGAACTTCGCACATGAGTACATAAGTTTAGGTTGCCTTACCGCATTAGCACAGACAAAAATTTCAGTCCATATTCCATAGTGGTAAAGATAGTAGAAGTATTAGTGGTACTGGAGAACATTAAGGGTTTGAAGATATGATTCGAGAAGTATAATTCAGTGAGATAACTTTAGAAAGAGAAAGATAGAGATTATCAGAAATTCAGGTTAGGATTTAGGAGAACACAAAGAGTCAGTGGTTGGGCATTCGTAACACATGTCCCAACCACTTCAACTGATGAAGTCTCAATACTTCATCAACTGGTTTGCCATCCCTACCTAGTACCCGTTTTTTAACGACAGCATTGCTCACGTGTTTGTCCCACGGTACATGAGCAATGCTTCGAAGACATCTATAATCGAATACTAATGACATGAATATCATCGACTCTCGGTCATGTTTCGCATCCATATGGAAGGATGGAGCGAAGTGATGCACAGTCGCTTTTGTGCTAATGCGGTATGGAGACTTGAACTGATGCATGTACGTACGAAGATCTGTTTTGTATCTGCCTGTCTGTCTGCTATGCAGGACACTCGTCCTTTGGTTAGCGAAGTTGTAATCATGCGAGCCACTTGACGTCATAATAGTGAGTTGCGGTCTTGTGAACAAAAATAGGATTACTCATTCCTAGGTTAGAACAATGCTACACATACTGGTTAGATCGTTAAGCACCGATTATCAAATGATTTATTACAGTGGAAATAAACAATAGGAAAAGAAACTACAGTTAACCTAATTAAAGATAACTACGCTATATTCCGGACTGTATATTACATCACTCTCCGACAACAAGAAAAGTCAAATAGTTAGTTGGCATAACATATACAGCCAAATCAATATAAAACGAAAGCGAAGCTGAACATTATAGCCAAGATTTCCAGCCAAAACTGGTAGTGTTATTGTTAAGACCCTGATTTCCACGACCGAATCCCTGTAGCAAGTCATTCCGACACCTTTCGTTTCCGTATATATTCGAAAACGAGTCACGACTAAAAGGACATTCGGCTGTATGTTTCACGGCTGAAACTTTTGCTGGTACCACTGCGACAACGCACAAAGACTCAGTGACGATCTACTGCAAACCAAAATTTTTGCATTCTCAACTTTTTGTCACGACATAACTTCAAGCTTTAAGTAGTAGGAAATCTCCAGCTATCTTACTTCAATTGTCCTTGTAATTTCGATTATACGGTCAGTGAGCTCAAATATCCAATTTTCAATGTCCAATATCCGATATCTTTTTCACGAGCTAGTATAAACCGGTTTGACTTCTTCGCGCTCGACTCTTGCTTTTCCGGTACGGTTCCAGGTGTTCGGTAATGTTCGATGGATGGAGGTCTAGCCACTTGACTGTCTAATTCTAGTCAGTTGGCAGTTGGTTGTGAGTTTGTATGTCTCGGGATTTGGATGAAAACGTTCGTTTCAGGGCAGTAGGGTTTCTGGATACTAGCAGCTATCACAATACCAGACCGGAGATCAGTTAGTCGCAATGTGGAGAGTAATAAGGGTAATAAGGATAAAATTCTAATGATAATATGAATAAAATTTTAGAGCTGAGTAGTATATAGATGAATTTAGTTTGCTAACTGGTAGTGAAGATTGTGAGAGAGGACCGAAGTGTAAGCAAGGGAGAAGAAACAGGGATAATAGGCGAGATAGCTTAATTGAGTGACCTGAGGAGATGGCAATGATAACAACTAGCAGGTCTCAAGATACGCATCATAAACAGCTTGTCCAAGAGGGAGATGATAGTCCGTATGTGAGTACGTGATTATCAAGTTTCTTCTTGAAGCAGTCCACTGAGGGGGCTGTGGTTACCTCGGCTGAGAGAGCATTCCAAGTAGCGACGACTCGCAATGAGATAAAGTATCTGAGTATTCGCTCTTTGATGTGCAATCTTTCGAGGATTACTTCGAGGGGAGTGGTGGTGATGCATCTTTAAGATGCACACATTGGGATGGTTTGGCGTGTTTAATATGGTGTACGCCATAATCAGATCGCCTCTGATTCTCCTGTAGCTCAGTGAAAATAATCCCAAGAGCTGAATTCTATCGTCGTAGGGTTTACTTTTCAACCCTATCACCCATTTGGTTGCTCGTCTCTGCACTCGATCCAAGAGATTTATGTCTCTTTTAAGAAGAGGGGGTGCGATGACGTTGTGAACTTCCAAGTGCGGCCGCGCTTACGTCTTAAACAGGGTTAAAAATAATTTCGGGGTGAAAGCACCAAGCTGTCTTCGCATAAAGTGGAGAGTCGCATTTGCCTTGGCTGCATCCCCTACATAGATTGGACTGGTGTAGAGGCTTTCTGTGGTTATCAAACCAAAATCGCGTTCTGAGTACACGTCTTTCTGACGAGCTAGTATAAACTGAACTCGTATTACACGTTGAAATCATCAACCAATCATTTTTAGACCACAATTAGAAGCCCGGAAGCACTGGATGGCCGTCTCATCTTGGTATGGTGTTCATCGGCAGTGCGCATCCACGACTCCTGCTATTCGCAGGATCCTAACCCAGGGCATTTGGTCTTGCGCGCGAACGCCTAACCACTGGGCCGGCATCCAACGGTGTAAATGTCTAAATCTGATCAATCTAGGAATTTTGCGCGACCTCTCCGGTTCTTCTTTGGTAGTTACTGTCTACACCCGACAGGGCTGAACTCGACAATCCTAAATGCACAGTTTGTTCTTCAAACCTATCACCCCTTTCATTTCTTGTCTCTGCTTTCGATTCAAAAGGTTTAAGTCTCTTCCATGGGGGCGGGTTATTTTTAACCTTCTGCTTAGATCATTGACGCCGAGCTAATTTTTTCTAACAGGTCGTTAATCAAAATCAGGAAGAGGAGTGAAACTATGATGGTCCTATATGAATCGGTGTAGCCCATTTCCGCAACCTTCGCGATTAACAGTGCTCAACTACTGTGTCAAGGGCTTGTGCGAATTCAAAAGATATTATGTGCACTAGTATTTTTCGGTCCGAGCAGGATGTCCAACTGTCCCATGCTATGAGAAGATTGCATGAGCACAACCTGCTTTATCGAAACCTATGTTAAGATTAATGGAAATATTAGTTCTTATCCATGTACTCCCTCATTCACCTGTCCTTCCATTACCTTCGACAGTATTGTCTGGTCTCTAACAAACTTTATTCTTCTCATCTCCTCCTTTGAAGATTGGAGAGAGAGAGTAGCTTATTTCAATTCAGCTGAAAGCAGATGTGACTCCAGTGAATGCCTGAACAGGTTCGAAGACAATAGGGCGAATAGTATCACATCCCGGTGACTTTCCTGAGCGCAAGGATTTAAGATTTCTTAGTGCTCAGTTAGGAGTAAGTTTATTATTCCCTGGGACATAAGCTGGCAGTAGGACTGGGTAGTACTCTCAACGTGTAGGTACATGGTTTGACTGATTGGTGAAGTTGGTTTTCAAGATATTAACTATCTCTATGTTTGCAAGATCTCCGCCATTGGAACCTTTGACGGCACAAACACCCTAGTTCGTAGGTTTCCTTTTAGTCATAAACGTAAAGAGATAATTTTGGTTTGCCTGTATTCGGACAACGAGCTTCTTCCGGAAATGCATCCTGTAACTTCGAACTTCGGCACTGCATCTACTTTTCAATGCCAAGTAATAACTACAATTGGAATCCTTCAAAGAGATCTTCCACTTGCATCAGGCTCTTTGTTTCGCTTGTGGCAAGCGTACAATGCCGCGCCCAATCCATGTTCTTCTGTTTCCGGGTGTGTGGTGTGACTGAGGTACATTGTCTACGACAGCATTCTGGATGATGTCTCTCACTGTTTACCAGTGATCATTTACTGTCAGACTCCGCCATTCCTGTGGCCATAGGGCATGTAGAAGGTTCTCTCTCGTGTAATTCGCCCTAGTGTAGCAAAGGTAGGGCTCGTTTTCGTCCTGCCTGAGTGTTTCGTTTATGATCATGTTAAACAAGACTGTGTCATGGTCACTACTTCCTGTCGGTGAATGGAGGTGAACATCCTCGACCAGGAGCTGATCATTCGTTAACAAATATTTCAAGTTGGAGGATTTTTCATCTTTAGTTCATCTAGTGGTGTTGCTTACATGCTCGGTAAGCCCAAAGCTTCTAATGGCTGCGCCTAGTCTTCTTTGCCATCAGCGAGTGGGAGTTGTATCCTGTATTTTGAGATTCAGAGATGGGATGTTGAAATCTCCAGCTAAGAATATTTGATCAAATCCAAGGAGTGGCAGTTGCAGTATTGCCTTAGACAACTGATCTTTAAGATCCTTATTACTTGAGGGGGGGCGGAAAATCCTGATCAAGTACCTTGTCCCACTTGTGTTGAAACAACATCATCGTTATTCTGTCACATTGGTTAATTCGAGGCTGTGTGGTGTTACTGCCTTGAAACTGCCATTCCCCCTATCTTGTGAACCGCATCGTATAGAACGTGTCAGGCCTTGCAAGCTCGTATCGTCGTCTGCATTATCGAGGTATAGTGATGTTCTATTTAGGGTTATGATCTTTAGATCCGTTTCAGAGCACATACCCCTGATCTCTTCTTACTACCCCCTGCAGTCTTCTCGTGTTGCTTTGGCGGCACATAATGGCTTGTATCATCTAGTAGTGCACCGTTACTGTACCAGCCGAGCTGGTCAGTTCTGTCGAAACTGGAACTCTCACTTCCTCGTTTGCAGTGTCCTGTATCAGTTAGGATTATGCTCTTGAGATCTATCTGAGATCAAGTGTTCCTGATTTCTAGCAT